ATCAAGGGAAGTCAAGAAGACGTGTCCTCAACTGTTGCAAAATCAAGCACCAACCCTTGGAATTGGAGGTTATTGACTAAGATGATATTACTCTGAGTTAATGGATCCTACAGATTCATCTCTGCTGCCTCTTGTGGACAAGTTGATAGCAGAGTTGGGCTTAAGTTTGATGGCAATATGGATGAGGAGTGGCATCGGGAACTTTATTTGGATGCAATACTGCATGAGCAAAAAGGGTTCTGGTAAATTTATAGTGGATGCAGAATGTGAACCACAAGAATTTCATGAAGATGCATTCAAGGTTGAGACATGAGTTCTTTTCAAGAGGCATGCAGCTGTCAGTTTTTGGCAAGGTATTTTCACAAGCATTTTGTTTTTTGTAGAAATATTTTTTCCTTTCTGATCAGTTCAATAAAGTTTCTTGTTGTTGACAATAAATAAATATCATTTATGATTGTGATGTAATATATAGATTTCCTGTGAATGTGAGGGACCCTCGTACCATTGTGAATCAGAAATCCCTTTGAATGTAACCTTTATGTTTCTCTTTATGGGCTATAGTAGCAATTATGTACTATTTTCATCTATTTAATGGCAGTATTAGGATTTGATTGTTTTACTGATATGGTTCCTTCCTGCATATGGATAAAATGAATCAAGCCTCTGCTTGCATGGAAACAGGAATAACCGGTACAAACGTTATAGATCTATTGAATACAACTATGTAAACATTCTGAAGTTTGTCTAAGAGATATATTAAAGGTATAAAACAAAACTGATCTGCTTGTTGAACCGGTTAAAAAAATTTATTATTTCTGTTGAGCATCTTCTGTGTGGATGAATTGTTTCTGCTAAAGTTGTAGCAAAAAATGTTTCTCTTTCATACATTAAAGACTATGATTGTTCAGCACAAATTCTAAATATACAGATGTAAGGAGTAAGCCAATGGAAGCTAATGTGTTCCTGCATTTAATTCAATAAAGTCTGAACGCCTACTCTTTGTGATTGGCTGTATGAATCCTATCTTTGTCACTCAGTTATATCTTCAGCTGGAGGCGTGCTTTTTGCTATAATTGATCTGGGAAAGCATTTCATCACTGGAAACTAGATCAGCTTTCTTTCTGGATCTGGGTGCTCAACATGTTGTAGGCTAGGAGAGCTCGGAATCTGAGGCATGACCGGATGCTGTCCTCCGTAATCTTGGACTTGTTAGAAGTAGTTGGCTTTCTGAATTCATTCTTAAACTGCGCCCACAACGGCTCAGTTGAGGAGGTCTTACTGCTCTTCCTTTTGGTGTTACTGAAAAAAGACACAGGTTGAGCAAAATTCATCAAAGTAAGAATATGATTTAGGGATAAGATGGTAAAGATGCTTTTTTGTGTGTATATGATTTAAGAAAAGGAGAATGAGATGATTTTTTCTAAATTCAGGTTTCTAGTTCTTGCTTATATTAATGGTTCTTAAGTTGGTGCTACCGATACAGCATACAGGCATGAGTGCCTTCTAGGTTGAAAACTTTACACTGTATCAGGAACAGAAAAACTATTCATATGCATGGAGAAAATATTATTGAGAGAGAGTTTATCATTAAGGCAAAACCATGCAGCGAGTGTAACATAAGTCGACAATAGTTGCAATGCCTAGACATGGTGGCTATATTTTAACTTGAAAAACGTTCTGAAAAGCTGAAGCCATTCCATTCTTTGTACCAGTTACTATCTTTCAGTGGTCAGAAAGGAAATAAATGACAAACCATGAATGAAAAGAGTGCCTGCGGTGCTATATCAATGGTATCGTGAAGAAGTCATTTAGAAATCATGCATTGTCCTTAAAAGTAGATTACCTGGATGTTTTGCTCTAATATCTGGAGATTTTTTCAATGCTGAAAGTCTCCTGGGCGTTGATTCAGGCGAAGGTAAGGACCTCCTCTCAGTTGTTGATGACAATGGGTCATCAGCAGTGGCATTTTCATCCCCACTAACTGAAGTTCTGTCACTTCCTGATTCTGAGGTGTCTTTGAGAGTATGACCTATTTTCTCCTTTTCCAGTACTCTATAAACAAACATCTGAAAAGGGATTTGTGATATAGGTAATGGATTGGAAGCCTCCCATGTGGGGAATTTTCGTTGAAGCTTTGACTCAATATCACAGTAATCCACCACTGGCATTGGTAATTCTGAGTGGTTGTTATAATAATCAGGGTTCATTAGAAGGGACCGTTTTATGTACCGAAGAATTCTGCAGATGGATGAGAAGCTAGGCCGTAGATTTGTATCAGCATGCCAACATTTCTTGGTCAGGTTGGTTACACATTTTGGTGACTGGAAAGGAAATAATGGCCTCTCCCCTGCCCTGATGTTTCTGCTCATTTTGTCCCCTTGAAGATGGCTATCTTCGAATGGGACTTTTCCAGTTAGAAGCTGAAAGCAAATCATTCCGAAGCTGTAAACATCAGCTTTTTCTGTGTACTTTGAATTCCCTTTACTTCCTGTTGGCTCCTGCTCTTCTAGAACCTCTGGAGCATGCCAGATGAATGGCAGGGTTTCATTCTGGTTCATCAGTGTGCTCTTTTGTGGTAAATTAACTATGGAAGATAAGCCAAATCCTGAAACCTTTGCCTGCATGTACCCTTCCGTGGACACTCCTCTTGACTTGACATGAATGTTGGAAGGATTTAAATCACCGTGGTAGATTTTATTTGAGTGGAGATATTCCATTCCTCTCGCTATCTGAAGCATTAGATCAACAGCAACAGCAAGAGAAAATGGTACTCGCTTTCTTGGGCCACAAATCTCTTTTACGTAGTTGCAGAGGCTTTTATTCATTAGTTCCATGACCAAATGACATTCCTTCTTCTCATCATCAGTAAATCCACAGAGGAAATGAAGTATGTTTGGGTGGGAAAGAGATAATAAAGAAGAAATGTCTGGAGCTACTGCTTCTACGTCTCCAAAAAAATGTCTCAAAGCAAAGCTTTCACCTAACCAGTAGACCTCCTTGTATTGATTCCCGTTTCCAAGCCGCCGTCTAACCTGGTAGTCCTTAGACCCTAATAGGATTGTACTCGGTAAGAGCCTCCCATTCAAAGACTCTGAACTATCTAAGTTTCTCAAAAGCAAATCTGCAAGCTTGCGCTCCTGCTTTCTCGAACCCAAGCTTTTCTTCTCCAGGATTTTGTTTAGAAGGATCCATCTATCTTCTTTCCAAACAGTGTCAATCCTATTGCAAAAATCTTGTGCAATAAGGTACTGCTTTGCAAATCTCCACTGGAAAAGCTGAGGATCAATCCATTCTTTATGGTACTTGTTTGAGTACACCCGCCTCTTCTTTTGCATTTCATCTTGTTCCCAACCAGATAATTCTGCTGCAGTTTCGATTGCTTCGATGACAACGGGGATGCAGGAAAGCAAGTTATGGATATGCAACTCGACGCAATCCGAATTCTGATAGAGAGTAATGGCTTTAGCCCACCAGTCTCTGGATTCCAAGCTCTGCCTGATGTAGGCTTCCCCTTCTTTGAAAACCCTGTGGAGCTCTCTGAAAGGCATTTCAAGAACTTTCCATTTGATGTTCCTTTCTTCAAATTTCAGATTCTCTCTCATTTCATCTGCTATCGATCTGTATGCGAAACTAAACATATCGTGTAACAAAATGCATTGCCTCTGGTTGATCTGGATGCTGTCACGAAATACCATTAAAGCCTTCAAACTCCCTAGCACCTCCCCGATCTGTCGAAATTGCTCCATTTTTGGTCTAAAACCAGGAGGCTCTATCAAAAGGGTAGATGTTAATAATCATGTTCATGAAATAATGCAATCTAGAAAGAGGCACCAAAAAAAAACAGATGTGAGATTAAACATGACACTGCTTACCATAGAAAAATAGGCCAAAAACGGCTTCCTTGAGGTGAAAAACACTCGCGCTTCCTTCCCTGGATCAAGATATAGGAACAGAAGAAATTCAAGCTTTCTTTAGTTTTGGCAATGTGCCATATCCCACAACCAGTAGCAAAACAGAAAACAGCTAGTTTCCACCGGATCCTGCCAACAGAAATTCAGCAAAGGCCAGTGCAATTATGCAAGGAACCCAATTTCCAAAACCCAAAAAAGGTTTATCTCCTACAATCAGATCAGAATTCAATGAACCAACATATAATGCTACGTAACGGATGTTCAAGAATAGAAAAGGAACTTAAAAATTCGAGCAAAGGGAAGAAAAGTGAGTTCCAGTTTAACTCATTGAGAACCAAAAGAAGATGATTTTAAATTTAGCACCAGTCGTTTTCTCCGGGAAAATTGTGTGTTGGTGGTGTGTATGATTGTGAGCAAAGTTGTTTCGACAAGGAACTAACCCCACCCAACACTTGTCAGCTTCGTGTCATGGTGTTCCCGCCAGTTTCGATGTTCTTGTTTTGGATTGCATTTGTTTACCATTTTTGTCCGGATGAAATGAAATACATGGAGAGTAATAATATTTACTGATTTAATTAAAATTAAAAAAAATTTAAAATAAGTGAAAACGCGTGATGAGATTTGAGTAAAAATCTTAAGTTCGAGTCATAGTGTTCTCTCTTATATAAAAATTGATTGGAGTTTTAATTAGTGTTTTTCATTGAAAGGATAAAATAATTTTGAATGTTTTAAAAAATAAGTTTGATTAAAAAGTTTTAATTTTTTTAAAAAATATTTTCGATTTTAATGATAAAAAAATGTCACAATTGAAACAAATAGTGATGATTATGCAATTTTAATGTAAAAATATCATTTATATATATAATAAGTAATAAATATATCATAATGAGCAATCAAAATTAAAAGAAAATGATTAATCAAAGTAATTTCTATTTAGATTTTTTTTCATGAAAAAGAAAAGAAAAGAATGCAAAATTGAATTATGCCACATGGAAATGGGGCATTCCAACGGCCCAAAGGCTAAGAAAAATGATCAACAAAAAGGGGAGAGAAGAACAAAGTTTAAGCAGCGATCGGCCCAATCTAGATCTGGATCTGGGATGTAAACGCTGCGTTTTAAAAGACAGATGGAGAAGGGGAAAAACTGTGCGTCTTACACGCCAAGCAAGAAACGACGACGCTCCAGTACTATCAGCTGCTCAGTGCTGGAACGGTGGACGCTTCCTCTCCGTCTCTGTACTCGTTGCTGTCTAGGACATCTGGATGACAATGCTTCTGCTTCCCGACGCGGATTGGAAGAAGTGAAAATGAAGTGGTACTTAGTAGCTTCTCTCCTCACCGTCCTCACTAGCTCTCAGGTCAGTTTTCACGATTCCTCCAATCTCCTAATTCCCCTTCTTCTTTTTTACTTTCCGCACTCCCGAAGATTTCCTACTTTCCTCCATCAAACTCGTAACCCTAATCACATAAAATAACTGTTGGATCTAAATATATTCGAATGTTTGGCAGGGGATTTTAACTACTCTATCACAAAGCAATGGCAAATATAAATATGATTACGCCACCGTTCCTTTCCTTGCTGAGGTTTTCAAGGTACTTCAAATTTCCACTGAACTTTCATAATTTAGATCTAAAATGGATGGTTAATTTTACAGCTTTTTTGTTATTTTTGGTTACAGCTTATTGTATCAAGTGTTTTTCTCTGGAGAGAGTGTAAGAAATCACCTCCTGCGAAAATGACGACGGATTGGAAGAGCGTTCGTCTGTTCCCGATTCCTTCAATCATTTACTTAATCCATAATAATGTCCAGTTTGCTACTCTTATGTATGTCGATACGTCCACGTATCAGATAATGGGCAACTTGAAGATTGTCACTACTGGAATCTTGTTCAGGTGCTGCTTTCAGTTTCTTGTATTTGAACTCTCTTTTTTCCATGTGGTGACAGTATTCGATATCCATGTTGTTCTCATGAATGAGCAGATTCTGTTGTTTCATGATTTAGGTTGTTTCTTAGGAAGAAGCTCTCTAATTTACAATGGATGGCCATTGTTTTATTGGCTGTTGGAACAACCACAAGTCAGGTACTCCAGATGTCTAACGAAATTATATATGTTTTGTGCTGAGTCTTTGTGCAACATTTTGACTTGTGATACTAGAAAAATTTATGGGTGCTTAAGTTTAAGGTGTTCTCAACGATTTGCATACTAGAAAACTAGATATGTTGTGATGCTAGAGCAATCTGTTTTGACTGTTGGAAAATTAGTCTATAAAAAGAGTAAATATAATGTATTTTGGTCCTTCAAACTTAAGTCCCATGTGAAAATGTGAAATCAGGCAATGATTTTACCTGATTTGAAGCAAGTATGTAGAAATCAAATAAATAAAGTTGGAAGAACTAGTTGACGTGATTATTTCCTTGCATGTAGTAAAGTGAACAATATCTTTAGTTTCATTTAGAAAATTGCAAGAAAGGAATGAAAAAAGGGGAGGATTAGAAGGAAAGCAATGAGCAATAGCTTAGTTAAGAATGCAACATCTCTTTATAAAAAGCTATCTCATTAGGACCAATCAATCACATGTGCTCTTGAAGCATTCTATCTCTTAGCAAATTTTGAAATTTCTTGATTCCTTATGGTGAAAGTTCTATTCTGTTAAAAATTTAGTCAAGTATAATCATCGGTTTCTCAATTTGAATTATCCTTCTTATCTTTATTAAGGTCAAAGGATGTGGAGAGGCTTCATGTGACTCCCTCTTTTCAGCACCAATTCAAGGATACATGTTAGGAATTTTGTCTGCTTGTCTTTCAGCATTGGCTGGTGTTTATACAGAGTTCTTGATGAAGAAGAACAATGACAGCTTATACTGGCAGAATGTACAGTTGTACACGTAGGTTTCATTTTCTTGTAAAATGCTCATTGCCACATTTGTTTGAGGAAAATATTATTATCAATAAAGAATATCATCTTTTACCTTTTTTGTTTCTGCAATCTTATATTGTCACCAATCAACATTTGTTGACGTATTGCAAAGCTCAAGCCAGTCAAAAGAATTAACATGGTTGTTGGTTGGTCCATTCATTCTGATTTAACATTCTTCTTCCAGGTTTGGTGCAATCTTCAATGTGGCACGGCTTGTGTTGGATGATTTTAGAGGTGGATTTGAGAAAGGACCTTGGTGGCAAAGGCTGTTTAATGGATACAGTGTTACAACCTGGATGGTTGTGTTAAATCTAGGTTCTACTGGGCTTTTGGTTTCCTGGTTAATGAAATATGCTGACAATATAGTTAAGGTATCTTCTTTTTAACTGTTCTTGATTGTTTGTCTGGTTGTCTACGCTATTGTGGGTGAATGTCATTTCTTCATAGGTTCTTTGGGTTTTATATTTGAACCTGGAGATTTATCCTTGATGTATTTTATGCTTCTAGATTTTCTTAACTGCTATATGTTGATTTGAAATTTTGGATGGAATTCATCTATTTTTTCAAGTTCTTAAGAATACTTGTTTTTACTTATTTTAGGTGTATTCCACATCGATGGCAATGCTATTGACAATGGTTCTATCTGTGTTCCTCTTCAGCTTCAAGCCAACAGTTCAGGTAGGGTTCCTTGCTGTGAAGTTAGTCTGAACTAGTTATGTCTCAGTGTGTTATTGTAACATAGTGTTCCAACCTGGATGTTGGTGTTAAAGGTATGTTCTATTGGGCTTTTTATTTCATGGTTAATGAAAAATGCTCACATGTACACACACACACACATAGTCCAGAATATGTCATCAACTTGTTAGGTGATTTATGGTTTATCCTATCCGTTTTAATGATTTTATGTGAATATAGTTCTTGAAACATACAGAAACTAAACCCAGGGCTCCTCCAGCAGTTTTGCTGCCAATTTTTTTATTACTAAAATTTGGAGCATTTATTTCTCTTTTCTTGGCATTCTTGTAGCTTTTCCTGGGAATCATTGTTTGCATGATGTCACTACATATGTACTTTGCCCCTCCAAATGTGCTTGTAGACTTGCCTTCAACAGTTAGATCAGATCCAGAGAGTCTTGTCAACGTACCAGTTGATCGTAAAACAGATTCTTGAAGATCAGCATCGTTTCTGAAGTATGTAATTCTTTTCTAATTCTTCTGTAAAAAGAATTAAATTTATTAATGGTTCATC